CAAAGTTCTTAAAAAGAATTTCTAACTTCCCGCCCAATTTTTTGATTTCGGCGGCCAAAGATTTTCAACACCCCGCCCGGCCGGCCATCTACAATTCTACGGTAAGAATTACTCCCAAATTAGTCCTAAATAAAACCATGGAAGCATGAATAAATAACATAATTACGATTTAAATTACCATAAATACAATACAAGGGACATGAGTTATCCTCTAAATCTATAATTTTTTAACAAATGATATTGATTGCGTTATAGTTTTATTCGCGGATGTAATTGATATTATAAATGAAAAAATATAATACTCCGAAGTAGTCATCGAAATGCGGTTAGTTTAGTTGCGGTTAGTTTAGTTGCGGACACGTCTCCTTCGGTCATGGGGTAGTCAGTGGTCATCGTGTGGCTCGGGTGTCTGACTGGTTGTGGCTATTGCAGTTAGTTTAATTGCGGACACGTCTCCTTCGGTCATGGGGTAGTCAGTTAGTTTAGTTTAGTTGTGGACCCTACTTTTTTTAGATATTGAATGGCTCTAGTGTCAATACTGGTTGTTGCTATTGCGGTTAGTTTAGTTACGGACACCTCTTAGTCGGTCATGGGTAGTTAGAGGTCATCTAGTGGCTCGGGTGTCTGAGTGGTTGTGGCTATTGCAGTTAGTTTAATTGCGGACACGTCTCCTTCGGTCATGGGGTAGTCAGTTGTCATCGAGAGGCTCGGGTGTCTGACTGGTTGTGGCTATTGCGGTTAGTTTAGTTACGGACACCTCTTATTCGGTCATGGGTAGTTAGAGGTGATCTAGTGGCTCGGGTGTCTAACCGGTTGTGGGTATTGCAGTTAGTTTAATTGAGGACACGTCTCCTTCGATCATGGGGTAGTTAATTGTCATCGAGAGGCTCGGGTGTCTGACCGGTTGTGGCTATTGCAGTTAGTTTAATTGCGGACACGTCTCCTTCGGTCATGGGGTAGTCAGTTGTCATCGAGAGGCTCGGGTGTCTGGCCGGTTGTGGCTATTGCAGTTAGTTTAATTGCGGACACGTCTCCTTTGGTCATGGGGTAGTCAGTTTTCATCGAGATGCTCGGGTGTCTGACTGGTTGTGGCTATTGCGGTTAGTTTAGTTGCGGACACGTCTCCTTCGGTCATGGGTAGTCAGAGGTCATCTAGTGGCTCGGGTGTCTAACTAGTTGAATGGGTGGTTGTGTCAATACTGATTGTGACTATTTCAGTTAGTTTAGTTTAGTTGTGGACCCTACTTTTTTTTAGATATTGAATGGCTCTAGTGTCAATACTGTTTGTGACTATTATAGTTAGTTTAGTTTATTTGTGGACCCACTTCAAAAAAAAGTTTATTTGTGGACCATACTTTTCAGTTATTGGTAGTTATTTTAGTTCCAAAGAATTTTGGAAATTATTATTCCCGCGTACAAAGATTTATTACTCAGTATTTTTCAATATTCAATTGGTGTGACTTCGCGATGACTGGTTATGACCTTTGACTTCTCGATGACTGGTCACGACCTTTGGTCACCGCCGGATAAAATAACTCTATCACTCTATCTCTCTAAAACCATATTTTCTCGTTTCTGTGCAGTGTGCACCCGTGTAAGTATTTGCTAGGTTGAGATGGCTTCTTCCTCGCGTCGTGTAAGGAATTCTCCGCAAGAGTGGTCTTGCCGCATGCCGCGGGAGTCAACCGATTGCATTGAAACCCTGGTAAGATCTAGGAACTACGCATCACATAATTTGTATCCGCTTTATATTATAAAGAAGGGCTTTTGAAAAAATAAATCATCCAACAGGTGATTCCCTCTGATGTATTGAGCCCCTCCGAGAAGATAGTGCTTCTCTTGACTCAAATTGGATACTTTCTGGTCGAACATTACATTGGTGATGATGGAAAACACCGATTCAAATCTGGATGGAAGGATTTTGCCGTTGCACACCAACTGCAACCAAAATTTGTTCTACATTTTAAAAAAATTGGGGAGTTTTGTTTATTGGTTACAGTTTTTGGCAAAGACAATTGGGTGACCTAACCCATTATGTTTCCAGATTATGATTCAGGTAAGAATATATGTATATGAATAAGTCACGAGTTTAGTCATAAATGAAAGATATTTTGTTGAATGATTCATTTTTTTATTGTTTTGCAGGAGAGGATGATGTTGATATTGAAAGTTCATGTGTTCATAAACTGGAGGCGCACAATGTTATCCCCAAGGAGTCATATTTGGTTTGTTTGAACGTTTTTTCTTTTTAAATACATACCAATCGATTGAAATATCATTTAAGGTTTTTTTAGTATGATTACAATCATTTCTAGTATAAACGCTACAGTCATATTTTCTTAATTGTATTGATGTTTTCTCAATCGTAGACCTGTTTTCAAATACATAAACCAAAATGGATTGTTTTGGAAGGGTCAGGTCGACCTTTATAAAATATCCATCGACCTTAATAAATTACAGTTGATTGTGTGTTATTCGGGTCGACATTTCGTTTTCATATTGATCGACTAAACCTTTAGTCGACCAAAAATGTCGATTAGGAAGTAGACCCGATTGTTATAATTATCTGTTTCTGATATTTCAACTATTGAAATATTTTAATGAAGCGTATTTAAGCTGTGTGGGCCATCGTCATTAATAATACACATACTTTATCTGTTGATATACCCTTATCGGTCATATCAAATCTGGAAAGAATATACGGAATATGAACAATAGTAGAATAATGAAGATTTAATAAAGTTTAACATGCACGCGTGACATGTGTCTATGAATTTGTCATCACACGTGCCGTCACTACAATATGTAGATGCATTATATTTTCTTTTTGATGTTATAAATTAGTAAATAAGAAAATGATGAATAGATTTAAAATAAAAATTTATTAATTATTTTATTGAACATATATGAAAAACGTCATATATTATTTTAGTGAGAAAGTCAAAAGATGTGGAGATGAAAAGAATATATGAAGAATAGTAGAAAATAATTCCCTCTTGATCGACCCCTTATTCTGGTCGACCAATGTTGACTGGTCGATTTTAAATATTGCATCCAGAAAGTCGACAAAGAAGTGTATTTATTTTTAATTTTGTTATAGATGTATTATTTGTTTTTTTTTCATTTTAATGTAGATGCATTATATTTTCTTTTCAATGCTAGTTTTGAACTCTTCTTTGATGTTTAAAATTAGTAAAAAAGAAAATGATGAATAGATTTAAAATAAAAATTTATTAATTATTTTATTGAACATATATGAAAAACGTCATATATTATTTTAGTGAGAAAGTCAAAAGATGTGGAGATGAAAAGAATATATGAACAATAGTAGAAAATAATTCCCTCTTGATCGACCCCTTATTCCGGTCGACCAATGTTGACTGGTTGATTTTAAGGTCGACTAAATTTCTTCTCCATTATCAGACTGTGTTTCGGGTTCGATATCAGAATCTGTTTCTTGCGTGTTTTCTTCTGCTTCTGGTTGTTCTTGTGTATTTTTGCTGCAAGTCCGTTTGTATGTCCCTTGTTATGACATCCAGAGCAAGTCAAATCGGAAGTCCTTCTCTTCTCTCCCGCTGATGGAATGCGCTTTGTTTGTGGCCTCCCCCTTTTCTTTTTCGTTTTTGGTGGTTTTACATGCTGGAGAGATAGACCATTGGCAGACCACTCCTCATGTGCCGGTACTGGATATATTGTTTCTCCATATGCTAGGTGGACGTGACCTCTGGTGTACCTAATATCACAAAGGTCGTACGCATTTATCTCCAGTTCCCTCGTGATATCATCCGTCAAGCATGCTAATGCATGAACGCAAGGAATTTTGTCCAGGTCAAATACGCGACAGGTGCAAGTCTTTTGGTGCAAGTTCACAACATGATCCGATGTAACTCCTTGAACTTGAAATTCATGATTGCCCAAACGCATACTCGAAAGCTTCAGAGCAATAGGGTACCGCCTACAAAGGTAGGCTTCCGCATCTAGAGTGAGCGGACTGCTAGAGTTTTGTAGAGCGTTCAACTCTGTATGCCGTTTTTCCCGCCACTCGGCAGTTTTCGATAGCATTCCGTTCAACAATGCTAGGATGGGTAGTGTTCTGGTGTGTCGTAGGACGCTGTTAACGCTCTCTGTCCCATTTGTCGTCATTATATTGTAACGGTTTGTCTTGAAAAAAGCCCTTGCCCACCTTTCCTTCGGAATAGTACTTATGTACCTAGCCCCATTAGGATACCTGTCCTCAAATTCCTTAAAAATCCTATGAAAAGTCTTCACCATGTAGGCATTTGAAAGACGATCAAATAGCTTTAAACCATCTTTGTTCTTCTTTCCTAATGGACCTTTTAAATTACAGTGAATATGATATCGACAGTACCCGTAGTCTGCAAGAGTATAATGTTTTCTCAACCCATTCTCGATGCTTGGATGCCTATCTGAAATGAAGACCAAATGTTGATGATCTTCGATTACTTGACGAAGATGACCGAAGAAATATGAGTAGGAGTCGTTATTTTCAGAGTCTACAATGACCCATGCAAGAGGATTTTGATGGAAGGCACCATTTTGTGCTGTGGCAATTAGTAAAACACCTTTTTCAAGTGTTTTGCAGAACGTGCCATCAACAGAGATTACTTGTCTGAGGAACTTAAAACCTGAAGTACATGCGTGAAAGGCTATGAAGACATACTTAAAACAACCATCATCATCGACCTCTAGATTAGTGTATACTCTTCCATTGTTTGCCTCCTTCAACACGTGCAGATATAAAGGAAGTTTCGCATAGTTGTCGCATGGTTTCCCATACAACTTTTCGTTTGCAAATTTCCTACCTAGCCAAGCCTTTGTATATGTTATGGGCATGCTCTTATTTTGCATAAGTGTCATGATTGTCTTTGGCTTAATGTGTTCCCAAGAACCACCTAGAGTAGCCAAGACAATCTCCCCAACGTACCTCGACGTAGTTTGTCTATGATTGCGCTTTCGTTCACCAATGGCACAGTTGTGCAACTTGTTGTACTTTTTGATTATAAATCTAGGAGAGTCCTTTACGGAAAATGCACGCATCATCCAACTACAGTTAGCACTCCTGCAACGCAGAATATATCAAGTTGTATCACTCTTTTCTGTCTTTGTTTCGAAGCAACCAGCAATGGCTACCTCTGTCATTTTCCGCTTTAGATCAGCCTTGCAGGCAAACTCATACCCAACACACAGGTCTGAGCCATCGCCAAATGTTCCATCCGACCCACCTTCGCCATCTACTTCACTGACAGGAAAATCAAAATCATTTGGAAATCGAGTGTAGTGTCCAACCTCTACACCAACATGCTCTTGTGTAGTATTTTTAATTTCAACCTCCACATCAACTTTCTCCTGCGTACTCTTGGGAACCTCTACCTCAACCTCATGATTAGGTTGGGGAGAGTTAGGAGTGCAGTTGGATCCTATGCAATGGAATGTCTCCACATTCGCATTTGTTTCATCATTAAATACAACCCCATCATGTCCATGCCTTGATCCTTTATCAAATACTAGATTGCAATCAAAATATTCATCACGGAAGACACAATCATGTTTTTTGCCATTTTGATCTTCCTTTTCGTTTTCATCAATTGCATGTTGTTGCTTGACAGTTTCATTTTCAAGCTCTCTTTCCTCGATTTCAGTCACCACAACACATAAGCATGTAGAATGTACATCTTTATCCCTCAGGAAACAACCCAACGCCTTATCACTGGAAATTATGACAGGTGGCAATTCCCTACCGAACCGAGAAGATTGGTATGAAACCTGAAGTTGATGCTTACTTTGTTGCAATCCAAAGTCCCGATAAATACACATGAGAAGGGCATTGAAGTCTTCATTACTTCTTTCCCACTCGATCACTTGTGTCTTACTTTGCTTGTTTCGTTTAAACTGGATTTCGCTTTTCTCATTTTCAACCCAATCACCACCACAATGAATGAACAGAGATAGAAGAGCGCGAGTGTCCATCTGCCTGCAAAAGTGAAATTAAAGATGTAATCGCCTTATTACGGGTCTTCCCTTATTACTGTGAACTTCGACACAATCAT